GAGATGTATTTTCTGTCGAATGACGTGGTCTCTTGGACTCTTTGAGCAACTTATGACAAAATACTTTAACTTTTTCAATACATTTTTGTTAAATAAATCTATATGCAATTCTCTTCTTTCAATGATCAATACATTTTTATTAAATAAATTTATGATTCTATATTTTTAAGAAATAAGAGAAATAATTATTAAGTAAATTAAAAATTATTGTTAGTGATACAGTTATAAAATAATTGTCGTTTATCTTCTACAATAGCCAGTAGCTTCTTAGCGATTAGTTACTGCAAAAAATCTAACCAGTCAAGAAATGAAGCAAGTTGTATTATAATTTTATTCTACGATTCTGATTGTGTTATAGCTTATCTTGTATAGTCGATGATGGTATGAAATAAGTTTCCTAGTACTTAGCTGACATCTCTTATATGTTCAGCCATATATATTCATTTGGTGGTCAACAATGTCGATTAAGCCTACTATTCTACTGACGAGCTTAAAGTGTAATTTGAATTCGATTAAGCCTACTATATTTAAAGGAATAAAAATTGAGAGCAAGCAATAGATACAAAATGAAAAGGGAACACGGAACACCAAGATTCACATGGATGAAGAAAGACGAATTTGAGGGAGAATTAGGGGTAGGGGTAGGGGTAGGGGTTGGAATAATTAGTTTTTACTGCATAATACTTGACCTTCAGAATCAAACACCGATTTTGGATTCGTACTTCAGCAAGACAAATTGCTTGAAAACGATAACTTACCTTAATGCAAAAATCTGTTAGCACCACCGATTTTGGATTCGCACTTCTCAGAGAGACGCGATGGTCGATGGAATCTGAAATCGGCGATTCGGCAGCAGGCAGTCGGCTCGCGGCTACTTTGGAGGATTTCCAATTTTAAGTTTTAACATGTGAATGATTTGATATATGGGTTACGGTATAAATGAATTGGGTTGGGCTTTTGGGTAGTTTTAACATGTGAATGATTTGATATAATGGGCTCAATTTTTTAATTGGGTTTGTCCCAAAAAAAAAAAAAACTAAAATTGTCCAATTAAATACCATACTCACCCCATGACGAATTGGGTCATTAAAATCAAAACCATAATCACCCCATTGCACAATCGGTTCGATTTTTTTCGCCCCATTTGGTTCGGTTAACCGCGATTTTCGGTTTTCATAGTTCGAATTGCCATCCTTAGACGTGGCGCCATGTCAGAGGTGCATTTTTTTTACTGTATATATTTGCTTTTTCCTCCGTACCCCGCCCCATTACCTTTGCCCTTTTTATAAACCCACCACCTACTCCTGCCCCCCACATATAAATGATTTTCTTGATTTTTATATCAATTTACGATATCATTACGGGATATCAAACGAAATCGAAACATTACATTTTAATATTATTTCAAAGAGCTCATTGCCTAATTTCCCGCATCTTTAATGACACGCAAAACGATCAACCTTAACAAAACTAACGATGCGTCAATTTGGGCCCTTTAAAATTAGTATTTTCAAAATTTCGATAACGTGCTAACTTAAAAAATTCGTTGTCCATTGTACTCTAACCAAATCCACAAATCGCCTACATCACCTTAAAACTCGTTTCGAGAACTATATCGTAAATATATCGAATAGTTCAAACAGATCGTTAGGACATCAAAAATAATTAAACGAGCCTCTAAAAAAGAGACACATAACTCCTTTTTTCTTTAAAAATTTTCAATTATTTATTACTTTTGCACGAAAATTTTTTTATTGTAATTTATATTATTTAATTAAGATATTTTTACATAGGTATGACGTCAAAAAATTTCAAATCATTACGCAAAATGTAATAAATTAGTATTGAATAAGGCCCAACTTCAAATTATTTTTTCTTATTAGAACAAATTAATAAAATAAAAATGTGGACTAAAAAGAAAAAAAAAATCGAACTTAAACCTTATTAAATATTAATTTATTATATTTTGTATAGTGACCAAAAAAATTTTGACGTCATATCCATGTAAAAATATCTAATAAAATAATATAAATTATATTAAACAATTTTGTGGTTCAAAAATAATAAACAATTAACAAAATAATTGAAATTTTTAAAAGAAAAGACGAGTTATGAGTCTCTTTTTCAAACGTTCGTTTAATTATTTTCGATATCCAAACGATCGTTTGGACTATTTGACATGTTTACGATATAATTCTCGAAACAAGTTTTAAGGTGACGTAGGTGATTTGTAGATTCGGTTAGTGTACAATTGTCAGCAAATTTTTAAAGTTAGAATATTTTCGAAATTCTTGAAATATTAGTTTGGAATGACCTACTTTGACGTATCGTTGCTTTTGTTAAGATTGACCGTTTTGTTCATCCTCAAGGATGCGAGAAACTATGGTTTGAGGACTTTGAAATAATATTAAAAATGTAATGTTTTAATGTCGCTTCACATCCTGTAATGATATCGGAAAATTGACATAAAAATTAGGAAAATCATTTATATGTGAGAAAGGGGCAGGTGTGGAGGGTGAATGGGTAAAAAGGGCAAAATTGGTGAGGTGGAGTACAAGGGAAAAGCAGTAAAAAAATCATAAAATGCACCGTTGACGTGACATTGCTACATCAACGGTGGGAAAAAAAAAATGCTACATAAGGTTTTTATTAAATAATGCTATTATTACGAAGTGGGGATCTTCCCTATATGATAGGTAATATGGTGTGAAATGATAATAACAATTAAATATGTGGATGTGAGAATGACCTACATTATTATCTAATGCTACATCACGAAATGATAATTCTCACTCTATGTATGCATTACTCATGTGTATTTACAATAAAAATATTTTTTTAAAAATTTTGAAAAGTAAAAACTATTTTTTCACAAACATGATTTTTTTACTTTAAGTAATTTATTTGTTATTTCTTAAAAAAATTAACTAATTTTTTTATTTCCACCTTCTCCGAACATGTAAAAAGTAAAAACAATTTGCTCTACACTTATTTTCACTTAGGGCCTGTTTGAAATGCCATTATTTTCCGTGAAAAATGGAAATCAAATTCCAACTTCCACTTTGCCTTGTTTGATACACTTTTTTTTCAAGGGAAAAATTCATAAATAAGGTGTTTAGTTTACACCAATTCAAAAAATGTTTATAGTTTGAAATTCAAAAATCAGGTTTTTTTTCTTAATTTTTATTAATGAAATAATAAATTATTAAATCAATTTATGATTAAATATTTAATTCTAATATAATATAATTAACCCATCCCACATGCACCATCCTTACCGCTCCGGGGACTATTCCGGCGACCATTCCGACCACCACTCTTTTCCGACGACT